GCAGGAATGGAGAACAAATAGAGAAGAAATACAGCAACTGATGAACAAGACAGTAGATCGGTGAGAGCCCAAAACTGATCATAAATTGATGAAAAGAAACAGGAGGAACCCATGATGTACAGAGCCAATGCCAGGATGACTTAGTAAACAGAAGAAATCATAATAAGGCATGTGGTTAGCACGACTACTGGGGGAACAGTTGTCTTTGGATGAAGAGTTGTAATTTGAAGAAAGTTACGTAAACATATTTGTACCAAAATATTATTTTTTGATGAAAAAGACCTATTATCTCAGCAAGGAAAAAACTGTGGCTATCTGACAGGACATAATTGTGAATTTGTGCCCAACCACTGAATATTGCTTAGAAGTAAAATTGCCAGTGTTTATATTTTTTAAATGTATAGTTTGTTGATTTTTGAGTTTAAGAGAATATAAGCCTTATGGTAATACAACTCCTATTCTGAGGGAAATGATGAATATGTTTACTTAATTATACATTTTCAACATTTTAGAACCAGCTGCCTATTCACAAAAAGGACATGTCAGTTTTTAAAAATGTTTACAATGCTGGACAAAAAAATAAGGCAAAGAAAGCCAAAGGGAGATAAGGAGAGAAAATATGCAGACTAGTTAGTATACAAAAGGCATGCCTGTAAGTTCTTTATGATTTCAATACAAATTTGACTCTGAACTTACTAAAAGCCCAAGTAAAGAGGGAAGCAGGCTAGGTTATGAGATTCATTGTGTCCATCATTAAAAACTAAACAGTTGCTCAGGAAAAATGAGTTAAATCCATGGATCCTTTTCCAGAAGACACTTCTGTAATGAAATGAATGTCCACCATGAAGTTAGAGTAGACAGAGTTTTATGGAATTCTTCTATTTTCTTTCTTCCTTTCTCTCTCTCTCTCTCTCTCAAGAACATCCCTGTGCTGGTTAGATCTAATTTTTGGACAGACCCCTTGCCTTTCCCCTGCTGCAGGGATCTGAACGCCTTGGGATGAGTTTTCCCAGGCTCTGAGTCAGCAGCCTGCATTCTGGGTTCAGACAACCAATGGAACAACTGGTAGGAGGGCAGGAGGAAGGGAGAAGCCATGGTACTTCTTACTCTGTCTTCAGTAGTACCCCTGGCTGAGGTTACATCCCCACTGCCAGCCCAACCCCTGCATTTGTGTATGCAGAAAGTTCCAGCTTCCATCAAGTTACCCCAACTCCCTTTCTCCAAGCGTAGGTTTAGTAATGGCTCCATTTTGTTGTTCATCTCTTGGCTACCTCAGTGTCCCCTGACTGGCCTCTCAGTTTTTCATCACTGATAGAATTATTTCCCTATTTTAAATGCCCTCTGCTTTCAATATTTAGGGAGTTTTCTTTTATGGTTGGACCCTGACTGATACAATCACTCATTATAAGACAATGCTATATCTTTCACTCAATTCACTATAAGTAATTTTACATTGAGAAATACCATGGAAATTGTTAGTATCTGCATATGACACATCCAGAGACGCTTATGCAACAGTAAACAGCAGACATAGAAAGGGTGTAGAAAACAAATTCCCACGAGTCATTTAGATGTGATATTCAGAAAGAGAATTATAATTTGCCAATGTCAATACATGTGATATTTCAGCACATAGATTAAATAATGCATCTTCAGTGGGCATGCTCCCTAGAAGATCCCTAGAAATGCACATGTGCCAACATCTTGATGGTAATAAGTCAGTGTAACCCAGAAGGAATATCCTTATGACCTAGTATCCTTCTCTCTCATCTACCTACAATCAACAAACATGATTCACCTAGGATTATTCTTTATTGCCAGGTATGGAAGACATATGTGGAAGCTAATATCTAATCTTCCTCTTCCAGTTCCTCACTTCCCTAAATATGTTAACTAGGGAACCCTTTACAATTAAACATATATGCTAATGATATATCAAGCAACAAAATTTAAGTTACCCAATAGCTATATGACATGAGTGGAGCTTTTCCCAAGAATTCAGAATTATTAAGCCCTGGTAAAAAATATTTTCTTATCATTTAACTTATTAACAACACATTCTGGCTAGAGAGGTCATATGCAAACTTACATTAAAGAGAGAGGTGACCTTTTAGAATTGCCTGATATATGGAACGTAATGTGTTTCAATAAAAATACTCAACTGGGAAACTCAGTGATGCAGGGGGCCAAATACGAGCAGTGCTTGTCTTACCTCCTGTCAGTTATTCCAGTCCATAAAGCAAGTTTATTTTATTCTGATGTCATTAAAAATTTCAATCTTATGGCTAATGCCCTAGTTTTTATTACACACACATCCAGCAATCTTTGCATCCCAATTTGGCTTACCTGGGCTTTCCCAACAGGGAGAAAATACACTGGCTGGAGTCTTTTAGTCTCCACAGTAGTTACGGTTCTTATTATCAATTATTAAAGCAGCACCATAAACTTGCATTACAGTATTGTAAATCTGAAAACGTACACCCCCTCTGTGAAGGGGTTGCTGGTAAGTTATGTTTCTCAGCTTGTAAGACTAACCTTAAACAATAGAAAAATCACAGTATGATATTCCCTGTAAGACATCTTTCCCAGAAGATGCATCCCACCAACATCCATTTCTCACACACCTACCTGAAAGACTTCCTAATATCTTCTGCTTGGATTGTCTTGAGAATCTCTTGGTGTAACTGAAGATCAAGTGTTCCTGAAGACGTAGCATTTGAAGAGCAATTTTTATGTGTGTAATAGCCTATCAAAATTCCAGAAATAAATAAAATGATTGCTGTGCAAAATAGTTTTAAAAGGCAGCAAAAGTTGCAGGGGTTGCTCTTTGGTGCAGATCTTGTATAATGGGTCACATAGTCAGACTCTTCTTGAAGTCGCTGAAACCTTCCTTTGGGTGAAGTTGCTGGTTGAACGGGATCAAGATTGAGGTCTGCAGTCTCTGAATTCTCCAGGTTCTGATTCTCAGCACCATCTAGCTGGAACTGGTCAAAACCAGGCTCCTCCAGTTCCTTTTCCATGTCCCACTCTAAGTCAAGGGCAGTGGCTTGGAGGTCATCATTGTCTAGGTACTGTGAAAGTCCCGGAGTTCTTCGATCTGCATTGACCTTCTGATAGGCCATCTTTTTACCTGTGAAAATAAGAGCAGTATATTTTCTGAAAATAAATCAACAAAGAAAACCTCCAAGGTGAAAACAAAACAGTAATCTATATTAGCTGTTCATAAAATTTTAGTGATTTTAATCAGGGGAAATACTTCATTCCTATAGAAAATCATATATTAATTATTTAATCTTATGTTTTGCTGTTGATGTTTACTATAGAAAAAAAGACAAACAATAAATAAAAGTAGAAGGCACCTGATGCAAAAGCTAGGAGAAGACATAAAATACACACACACAAACACACACTATTCTTTTGAAGCTCCGGAGAATTAAAGTCACAAATGCACAACTGCATTAAAGACAATGTATTTCAATGAAAGCCAAGTTTAAGCTTATACATTTTCAAGATCACTTTTAAGAAAAATGGAGGACAGAAGCAATAAAGTGTGATTTGTTAAGTTAAGGGGGGGATAAAAAGACCCTGGGATCAGTTACATTACCAGAGCTAATTTTAAAAACACAAATTCAGGGTAAGAACGAGAACAACAAAACCAAGTAGCACCTCTATAGAAATCCAAGAAGCAAAAGATGGTGTATTGCCTAGTCATGAGTTATCAGAATGACTGGAAGACTTTAAGGCTACCATAGAAAGCCAAAATGTTTCATGGAATTAGTGACATGAATTGGCCTGGCTCGCTGAACTTTAAATAAAAGTCTGGGATGGCATCCATCCAAAGAGGGAAGCCTTTTGCCAGGATAGGAGAGTTTAGTTTCATAACCTTGCTACTGAGTGGCAGATGGAGGCTTTTCTCCCCTACACAGTTTTGGATGACAGTTTGTTGTATCCTGCAGAGCAGTATTAGGAAAACTGGACTAATTAACTACAAGTGGTCTTCAGTCTGTATTCAGTAACACACTGGTGTATTGTAGTTGCACATTAGAAGTATTTATACTTAAATTTTCTGTGTATTAGATTTGTCATCCCAGCTGGATTCTAAGGTCCCTCACTATGTTTTGCGATTTTTCTATGGACCCCACTGTGGTGAGTGAAAAACAGAGCTCAGCTGACAACTGATTTGCTAAGTGTCTTAGGGCGGGTTGTTAACAAGTGAACTCTAATGAAAAATATACAAAGACTTCATGAAAGGGAGTGGCATGATGTACAGAATTATGGGTATATACAATTCCAATCCTGGCTGACAGAGGTCCATATAAATTAAAATGTCCTGAATGTTTAAGAGAGTTCAATTAAATATTAAACTTTACAAAATAAAAATTCTAATTTTGACTAGATTTCTCATCTGCTACAATACCATTTTTGATTTATTCTTGTCCAGAGCTGATTCAATAAAGATGAGTACCTAATACATATCAGGTATGGGGATAGGCAATGAAAACAAAGATGAACAGGTCCCTATTCCTCAAGCAGGGAATGATTCAATAAGAGAGACAGACATTTGAACAAACAAGTATGTCACATAAAATATGCAAAGCACAAGGGAGACTCAGGGGTGACAGATTCTAGCAGAGAATATGGGAAATAATTCCCCACCCAAAGTTATTTCTGAGGTACTTCTGGAGAGAGAGGAGGAGTTAAACTAGGACACACCAGGGGTGGGAGAGAACAGCCAGGCAGGGGAAAATGTATAAACACACAGAGGAATACAAGTGCACGGTGCATGGTATGTGGACCATTTGAAAAACCCAGACTGGTGTGCGAACCAGAGTTGGAGAAAAAGCTAGGAAAGGGTGACCATAGGCAAAAGGCTTAACTTCTTTGCAACACAGGGTCTTCATTTGTGATATGGGCATGGTGATAATATAAACATCATAGTGCTGTCACTAGGAATAATTGAGACAGTGATCCTAAAACATCCACTGAGTGTCACGTAGCCTATATAGGTTTGAAGGGATATTTCTGGTATTAGAGGAGAGAGGATTGTCAAGGATTGTTGGAAGAAATAAAATGAATTAAATAATGCAGAAGAAATTATATAATTCTGCAGGACATTGTGGAGAAGGGGAGAAGCTTGCATAATACACACACACGTACACACACACACACAGATATGATAGGTTTTTGCTTGTTTTTTTTTTTACAATTAGTCTATACGTAGAGACTAAAATATTTTTAAAAGGTACCACATGACATAGCAACTCTTACCATGCAGATATTAGTTGGTATTACGTATTAGAACAGCCTCAGGAGTGACTCTGCAGACCCCTTTCGTCCCTCCCTCTTTTCCTTCCCCTTTTCCTCTCCCTTTTTTCTGCTTGGCCTGGTTTCCATGATGATTCAAGAATGTGCATTATTTGAATGCTGTCTTTGGTCACATAAAGACAAGCAGAGAAAAGGAGTGATATATGAGTCAGTGATAATTATTCAGACAGGTTAGGAGATGGTCGATTAACTGATAGAAGAAGAAGACTTTAAATCATACTTGGTTAAAACAACAACAAAAATAGTACAATACTAGAGAATAGGAAAAACCTGAAGGCAGTAGAAATAAAGTAAACTTTAAAATCCATGATTCTAACCTCTCTCATATTACAGAAGAGGAAGCTGAGGTCCAAAGTTGAGTCATTCTTTAGGCTGAGAAAAGTGATGTTTGGGGACACACAAGGTGATGTGTGGTTTTATAAAAATATGAGATTAATAAGTTAGTCGTAACTTAATAAGTTGTGGGGTTAAATACCCCACAATCCATTTTTTTAATGTACATTGCAAAATACTGCAATATCTTGGCAGTAGTCAATTTTTTTCTTGCTTGGCTTAAATATCAATCAATTCCTATCTTGACATGATATTATGATATTTACTTCTCTAACTGTTCAGTTTATGCATTACTGATTTACTTAGACACTATCTCAACATAGTTTTCTAGACTTTTTCCTCCCATTTTAATGACTCAGAGTCTCTCTAAACGTTTTGGGTTTTTTCTGTTTTTTGTTTTAAATTGAATTGTAGAGTGTGTTTTATGCTCAAGGAAGACTTGGCACACAGGAGTTACTACAGAAATGTGAAATCTCTAATTCTGACCTCTAATACAAACATTCAAAGTCGATTCTCTACAAATCATTTACAAATCAACTGCAGTGATGAGGAAGAGTTTTCATTTCTAGCCTGACAATAGGTATTCCATCATCTGTACATCAGCAATTTAACGCTTTTCAAACATCAGACAGAGCCATCAATTAGAATGTAATGTAGATACAGATATTAACTCCTCACCATGATGGATGTCTGCCTGACGCCCTTACTACCACTTTTGGACTCATTACACATTTATAAATTTACACTAAATTCTATCTTCTAGGAGAGCAGTATCTGGGTAGATCAAGCCACTTGATGTTAAAAAAAAAAACAAAAAAAAACCCAAAGGATTTTAGGAAAATTTCCAAGAAAATGAGTATGTGATGACATCTATAATGAAGCATTTAACCACTTATTTGATAAATTTATATTATAAATCCATTAGAAATTCATTTCTTTAAAATTTTCTTGTCTTAAGGAAAATAGTACAGCTTTTTACAAAAATATAAACCTCTGCCCTGACAGTTTTGTTTCACTTAAGGTATTTAAAATGAACTCCTCAAAAATTAAACTGAGTAATGAACTATTTAATAAAACTAATAACATATTTAAAGTAAGCACCAATTATTTCATTTGTCCCACAAAGAATGTAGCTTTCTTTAAAAAACCTACTCCCCATGTGGTCAAGTAAAGCAAATATCACACTTTTTTCAAGAGAACTTTCAAATTCCCACAACGGAAATTTTACATTATAAAAAGAAATCTTCAGCAAAATCACCATGTCTTAGGTATGATTGCATAATTATGCCAAACTTCATATATTTTCTGTAACTGATGTACATGATTCATTTAATTTATATTGTCATATTATTTATAGCTACCCTATATGAGTAATTTAAAAAATACATGCAGTAGGGCTTCCCTGGTGGCGCAGTGCTTGAGAGTCCGCCTGCCGATGCAGCAGACGCGGGTTCGTGCCCCGTTTCGGGAAGATCCCACGTGCCGCGGAGCGGCTGGGCCCGTGAGCCATGGCCGCTGAGCCTGCGCGTCCGGAGCCTGTGCTCCGCAAATGGGAGAGGCCACAGCGGTGAGAGGCCCGCATAACGCAAGAAAAAAAAAAAAAAAAAAAAAAAATACATGCAGTAGATTTTGGAATCTACCACATGAATGTTTCCCTCAAAAATATGTACTTAGGTGTAGACCAGTCATAGAAACTTGCTACATTTCTTAAAACAGAAATATTTGTAGCATCTGTACATTCTATACTTATTTTTATAAAATGCAATTTTTCTGAAAAGTACAATACATTCCCCATGTTTTCAACATATCTTATTTGCTTAGGTGAGATCCTTTCCCACCCAGGCCCACAATGAAGGCTAAATTGTTATTAAAATTCAATATACTCAAAAGTTTATCACTTATATACACTTATTCTTTTCTAAGGAAAAGAAAGCAAATACAAGATGAACTAAAAGGTATTTCTTCTATACTATGACAAGCTTAGATCAATAAAAAATGAAGTTGTATTTTTACTAAGCATATGGGTAGTTTAAAATAAACTGATGCTTCCGAATGCTTTGTTTCACACATTTCTACTGGCTGAAACTAAGTAAATTATGTAGAAATAAAAGATGAATACAGAAATAAGCTGAAATTTCAATATATAAAATACAGTCTCTGGATGCTGCAAATCTAACTTAACACAACAGCTGGCAAATATTTTAGATGATAAATACATGTTAAACAAAAGTTTCATTTTAATAAGTTATATATTACAAATGTCACTTAGAAATATGATTATGACACGTTATCTTGCTCAGCAATCACAATGAGGGAATTTATTACATGAATGCCCTGACCTTATTGACCTCTAAATTAGCAGACTCTATAGTCAGACTACTTGGTTCAAGTCCTAGCTCTGCTATGTAATTTAGACCAGTCACTTAATCTTTTTATGCTTAAATCTCTTATTTGTACAGTGGAAATAATAAGAGCACTGTATTTGCAGCATTACCACGAGTAAATGATATAAATTATTAAAGATGCTTATAACAAGGTCTAACATGGTGTGACTGATCCACTAACAAAGCACCACCCCAGAAATTCTATAGAGTTTAGGAAAATAGAAGGATTTGGCACTTACAATTTTAAAATACAGACTTAACGAAATTAAATTATGACCAGAGGGCTTAAGTTTCAATAACAAGAACCTGGAGATAACGAGAGATGGAGCAGCACGCTCAAGCACTTTTGAAGGGGAAGCATCTGTTCGTCATTAGCTGTGGTTCAGATAGATAGAAGTGTGGCTAATATGTACATAAAAGTCATTATTACATTTTACTTGCAACTACCAATTCTATATCTTGTTATTATAGAGTTGAGTTTCTTTTCAGTCAATTTACAAAAACAACAGAGCTTTTCCATAATGCTCAAGAATTCAGTTTAACAGTTCCAGGAATTAGATAATTAATCATGAACATGGGTTATGTATGTTTTTGGTAGGACACCATGTTTGTCGTAGGTGGTTGACTTGATCCGCTGACTATGATGATACCGATAGTATTTTAGCTCAACCAGTATAAAAGACTGTATAGATCTTTTTAGAACTACGAACACATCTAAAGGCTTTTCTACTTGTAAAAGTTATTTTACAAGTAAAATAAATAAATGAGTCTGGCAGGTTAACTTGAAAACATAAGGCAGAATCTCAATTTCCGATGACAGCTCTATGATTGAATCTTTATTGTACAATGGGGAAAGAATATATTCATATAGTGTTTCCTGAAGGTTTGAATATCAAATCATTTGCTGGCTGGAGCAGATTGATTTGAGGCAAAGG